GAGGTGTTTCAGAGGTGTCTGATGTGGCACTGGAGGGGCTAGGTTAGGGTTTAGGGGTTCCAGCAGTGACAGGTTCAGGGTTGGATTCGATGATCTTACAGGTCTCCCCCAACCTTGATGCTTCTATGATTTTGTTCCTAATCTTATAGATAGAGTGAATGTCATTAAAAATCACCATTTACCAGTATCAGATGTTGACTGTGTTTTCTAGTACTGTTGACAAGCACAAAAGTTCCTTGAGCAACAGATGACGAGAGCAACTTCCCCACGTAATGCTAACGTTTTGCTTCTGGATCATGTCTATAATCAGGTCATCATTTCATCTGGCACCGACACATTTATCCCAGCAGATAACTTTGAGAATACATCTTCGAAAGAAAAGCTAATAATTTCTTTGTATTGGGGAAATTTCAAAGTACTAATCAAATGAATGTAAAATTGCTTTTATGGCCTAGGACATGTAACATTTCTTCTGCTGCACTTCCATGAATCACTTAATCTGCTCTGATAAATGAAAAATTACTGGACTGTCAGCTAATATGCAGAGTCATTCATCAAAGCTCAGCTGCTGAGCAGTGCTGTGGAGTTCTGGGCTCCTTCCCCTCAGGAATCATTGCTGTAGAAATTGTTGATTTTCTTTAATGACAGCAATACCTCACCAGGAATGTGATTAGTGAAACTGGAGGTTGCTGAGCATTGCTTAGCGCAGGAGACAGTTATTAGGATCCACTTTCAAGTAATTAGTTTTAAGGAGTTCATCCAGTAATTAATAATTTATAATTTAATTCTATTTCTGCTATCTGTGCTTAGTTTTAATGGTGAAATCTCAAATGTCTCATTCACCAGCTGTTTATGAACTCAGAATCCCAGGTTTTGCCACCTGGTGATGACCAGCAGAAGGTCCAGGGGAGACTCATCTAAGCGTTTTGGAAAATACTGAAGTAGCAACACCAAACAGGTGACTGACAATGCCAGACAGATTCAAGGTCTCTCTGCCCTTGTGAGACCTCACCTGGAGCACTTTGGCTGGGTCTGGAGTCCTCAGCACACAAAAAATGTGGACCTCTTAGAAAGGGTGCAGATGAGGCCGCCAAGTTGATCAGAGGGGTTGGAACACCTCTCCTGTGGGGAGAGCCTGAGAGAACTAGGATCATTGAGGCTGGAGAAGAGAATGCTCTGGGGAGACCTCATTGCAACCTTCCAGTGCCTAAAGGGGACTATAAAGAAGAGTGTGTAAGAGGTGTCTGGATCTGGCACTGGAGGATCTGGGTTAGGGTTTAGGTGCTCCAGCAGTGACAGGTTCATAGTTGAACTCAATGATCTTAGACGTCTCCTCCAACCCTGATGGTTCTATGATTCTAAGACAGAGTGACTTTTTACATGGGCAGATAGTGATAGGACAAGGAGGGAATGGTTTTAAACTAAAGGAGGAAGGATTTAGGTTAGATGTTAGGAAGGAGTTCCTCCCTGTGAGGATGCTGAGGCACTGGAACAAGTTGCCCAGGGCTGTGAATTCCTCATCCCTGGAAGTGTTCAAGGTCATGTTGGATGGGGCTTGGAGCAACCTGGACTAGTGGGCGTCATCTCTGCCCTTGGCAGAGGGTTGGGACTACATGGTTGCTTCTAACACACACCATTCTGTGAGTCCATGATGATGTAAAGCACATGCAAAGACTCAGAATGACACAAAGCAGTGTCGGTCAGCAGCCTGCTACCTGTAGAGAAAAAGGAGTTTTAGATCCATGTCCTCAAGATAGGAAGGACATGGAACTGTGGGAGCAAGTGCAGAGGAGGTCACAAAGTTGCTCAGAGCACTGGAGCATCTCCCTGTGAGGACAGGCTGAGGGAGTTGGGGCTGTTCAGCCTGGAGAAGAGAAGGTTGTGTGGAGACCTCAGAGCAACTTTTCCATATCTGAAGGGGCTACAAGAGCCAGAGAGGGACTCTGTGTTAGGAACTGCAGTGACAGGACAAGGGGCAATGGGTTCAAAATAAGGGAGGGAAAGTCTAGGTTGGATGGGAGAACAAGGTTTTTCCCTGTTCTGGTGGTGAGACCCTGTGCCAGGTTGCCCAGGGAGGCTGTGGCTGGCCCACAC